AATATATTTTTTGTTCATATTTTAATTGGGGTAACCACAAAAAGTAACCTCATGTTAACAGTATGTTTAGAAAAAAATAGCCATTCTAGCCCAATATTTAAGGGTGCCCTGGGGGGCCTAAATTTGTTTATATATATTTTAATTGAGGTGGCAACAAAAAGTTACCCCATGTATTATTGCATAGACAAACCAAATGCCGGTATCAGTCTAAGTTTTTTTTATTATTTTATAAAGACGCCTTTTGATGAAAAAAATTAGCAACTCTTAGCTTGATTTTATTAAATTTAAAAAAGATTTTGCGTTACTCTAAATTAATTAACACAACCACTATCGAAATAAATAAAGTCTTAAAAGAAGTAAATGCTTGGTCAGTTAATCATAGACTTCAGTTAAATGCCAAAAAGAGTCTTGTAATAAATATTGGTACAGTATATATGATAAATAAAAACAATATAATTTTAATACCGAACATATAAATAATATAGAAATACCTCAGCAAGAAACAGCAAGAAATCTGGGTGTTATTTTTTATACAAACGCCATGTTACAAGACAACTTAGTTTGTGTTATATGAAGCTGAAATTAATATATATTAATTTAAGTATGTTCTAAATTCTAACACCAAGTGCAAAATTGTTTCAACATTAATATACACCCTATTATAGACTATTGCATGCCAGTCTACTACTCAAATCATACTGAAACATTTAAAAATAAACTCATGTATTAGATTCATATATTTAGTCGGAAAATTTGACCCAATTACTTCAATCTATTTGGAAAACAAGCATTTAAAAATAATTGATCCTTACAAGCATAATTTTGGAAAATTAGTGCAGAAAGTAAATACCTAATAATTGCCAACAACTTTATTCAAAGATCTAATAAACACAATCTTGATTTAAGACACAATCTTTTTCAAATACCTAGTCACAAAACTTCAAAATCTAAGGATTCGTTTATAGACCTATCTATAGAACTTTTGAACAATAAAACATTCTTTAACATAATATTTAAATATCCAAACACATTTAATTTAGAGTACAAAAATTTGTTATTAACTGGTGTGATATGAAATTATAGGATTTAGTTTAATTAATATGTAATATGCAGAATAAAATAGATTTAATTTCTTAGTAGGTGGTATGGAAGAACGTCCTTACGAAAGCAGCATTTTGTGTAATTAATTTTGTGTTTTACGCAATAAAGCATTTTTATTATTATTATTATTATTATTATTATTATTAATTAATTGGATATTTGCTCCTCGAGTTAGACTTGTTGTCATATAGGCCGGTAGAGATGTCCGCGCATCTATATATAACCATTTCTTGCTACCTCACAGCAAATTTTTAATGCAGCTTCTGTTACAAGCTTCACAAACTTTTTCACCGCTTGCGTGTGAAAGGGAAACTTGCCGAACCTTATATAGAAGTCGTCTGCTCGACTTATAAATATTTTTAGTTCTTTTATTTAAAAAAAACATTTCCAAATTTATAAACATTTTTAACCCTAGAATTTGCTAAACCGCCAATTTTTTTACGTCAAACTCTAATATGGGACATTTTTTTGTAAAAATATTGTTAACATAAGGTAACTTTTTGTGGCTACCCCAATTAATATATAAAAAAAAAATATTGGGCCCCCGGGGCACCCTTAAATATTGGGCTAGTACGCTAATTTTTTTTCTACAATTCTTGTCAACATAATGTAACTTTTTGTTGCCACCCCAAACAAAATATAAAAAAATAATATTTTGGGCGCCCAGGGGGGGCCTTAAATATTGGGCTAGTACGCTAATTTTTTTTTTACAAACTACTTTTGGCCTAAGGTAAATTTTTTTTGCTACCCCTAAATTGAATTCAAAAAATAATTTTTTCGGCCCACCCTAGTGCCCACCCCAAAATATGTGCCTAAACAAAACCCCATGGAATTATTTTATTTATATGTTAACTTTTTTCCCCTTACCACGAAATTCTTTGCCTGCCCTTACGTACCCCCTATCCACACTTTTAAAATAACTTATAAATTTTTAATAAAATACGCAAATTTGAAAAATTCCCTGTGTCCACCCCAAAAGATGTGCCCAAACAAAACCCCCTGGAATTGTTTTATTTATATGTTAACTTTTGCCCCCTTATCACGAAATTCTTTGCCTGCCCTTACGTACCCCCTATCCACACTTTTAAAATAACTTATAAATTTTTAATAAAATACGCAAATTTGAAAAATTTCCTGTGCCCACCCCAAAAGATGTGCCCAAACAAAACCCCCTGGAATTGGTTTATTTATATGTTAACTTTTGCCCCCTTACCACGAAATTATTTGCCTGCCCTTACGAACCCCCTATCCACACTTTTAAAATAACTTATAATTTTTTAATAAAATACGCAAACTTAAAAAATTCCCCGTGCCCACCCCAAAAGATGTGCCTAAACAAAACCCCCTGAAATTATTTTATTTATATGTTAACTTTTGCCCCCTTATCACGAAATTCTTTGCCTGCCCTTACGTACCCCCTATCCACACTTTTAAAATAACTTATAAATTTTTAATAAAATACGCAAACTTTAAAAATTCCCCGTGCCCACCTCAGAATTGTTTTATTTGTATGTTAACTTTTGCCCCCTTATTACGAAATTCTTTGCCTGCCCTTACGAACCCCCTCTCCACACTTTTAAAATAACTTATAAATTTGTAATAAAATACGCAAACTTTAAAAATTCCCCGTGCCCACCCCAGAAGATGTGCCTAAACAAAACCCCCTGGAATTGTTTTATTTATATGTTAACTTTTGTCCCCTTATTACGAAATTCTTTGCCTGCCCTTACGAACCCCCTATCCACACTTTTAAAATAACTTATAAATTTGTAATAAAATACGCAAACTTTAAAAATTCCCTGTGTCCACCCCAAAAGATGTGCCTAAACAAAACTCCCTAGAATTGTTTTATTTATATGTTAACTTTTGCCCCCTTATCACGAAATTCTTTGCCTGCCCTTACGTACCCCCTATCCACACTTTTAAAATAACTTATAAATTTTTAATAAAATACGCAAATTTGAAAAATTCCCTGTGCCCACCCCAAAAGATGTGCCTAAACAAAACCCCCTGGAATTGTTTTATTTATATGTTAACTTTTGCCCCTTTATCACGAAATTCTTTGCCTGCCCTTACGAACCCCCTATCCACACTTTTAAAATAACTTATAAATTTTTAATAAAATACGCAAACTTTAAAAATTCCCCGTGCCCACCTCAGAATTGTTTTATTTGTATGTTAACTTTTGCCACCTTATTACGAAATTCTTTGCCTGCCCTTACGAACCCCCTATCCACACTTTTAAAATAACTTATAAATTTTTAATAAAATACGCAAATTTGAAAAATTCCCTGTGCCCACCCCAAAAGATGTGCCTAAACAAAACCCCCTGGAATTGTTTTATTTATATGTTAACTTTTGCCCCTTTATCACGAAATTCTTTGCCTGCCCTTACGAACCCCCTATCCACACTTTTAAAATAACTTATAAATTTTTAATAAAATACGCAAACTTTAAAAATTCCCCGTGCCCACCTCAGAATTGTTTTATTTGTATGTTAACTTTTGCCACCTTATTACGAAATTCTTTGCCTGCCCTTACGAACCCCCTATCCACACTTTTAAAATAACTTATAAATTTTTAATAAAATACGCAAATTTGAAAAATTCCCTGTGTCCGCCCCAAAAGATGTGCCCAAACAAAACCCCCTGGAATTATTTTATTTATATGTTAACTTTTGCCCCCTTATCACGAAATTCTTTGCCTGCCCTTACGAACCCTCTATCCACACTTTTAAAATAACTTATAAATTTTTAATAAAATACGCAAATTTGAAAAATTCCCTGTGCCCACCCCAAAAGATGTGCCTACACAAAACCCCCTGGAATTATTTTATTTATATGTTAACTATTGCCCCCCTTATCACGAAATTCTTTGCCTGCCCTTACGTACCCCCTATCCACACTTTTAAAATAACTTATAAATTTTTAATAAAATACGCAAATTTGAAAAATTCCCTTTGCCCACCCCAAAAGATGTGCCTAAACAAAACCCCCTGGAATTGTTTTATTTATATGTTAACTTTTGCCCCCTTATCACGTAATTTTTTGCCTGCCCTTGCAAACCGCCATCAACACATACAATATAGAACTGTAGACTATAGAAACATTTTTATAAAATACGCAAATTTAATATTTTACACCAATAGATGTTTCTCAATAAAGCCTCCTTGAATTGAATTTAACTTTTAATGGTATTAATACTCGAACACTTTACAAATTGCTGTTTTGCCTTGCTGTTCTAACCTCACTTTTTAAAACGTCTTACAAATTACTTGAAATACACGAAGTTTAAAAGGTCTCTGTCTCTATATCCCTGTGTCTACTTGTATTTAAATCTTAATTTTTAATCGCGAGCTTGATAAATTGCTGTTAAAAGATATTAAATTAAAACTATACACAATTTTATAAATAATCAGCCCACTGTGCGCTGCGCGCTCTAGCGGCCGACCGCGAACCTGTTTAGGAATGTGTGGCTGGAGATGTGTGGATAACTTCACACAAACATTTTTTTAGTGACGCCATCTGTTAAGAAATTTAATTGTCTAGATGTCCAGATAACCGCGTTTTAACCTGAAATTTTAATTTTTTTTACAAAATGTATTTTTTTTTAAGTAAATTTTTTAGAAAATTTATTCGTCTAGAATAAAGTTTTTTAATAAGAAATTCTTATCAATTTTCCCATAAATATGACAGTTTTAGAGATAGTTGCTTGTGAAAAAAATTATTTTGTCAGTTTTTATTTTAAGTAGGTGCATTTGCCGAGCCAAGGATTTTTTTGTGTACATATTTTTTTTTTACCTATAATAATATATTTGCAATGACCAAATTAATTTCGAAATATATTCGACATACTATCCGTGTCCACCCAATCAAAAGTACGCATCTCTGTTGGGGCAGGTCCACCACTTACAACCCGCTGCTGCTGAATCAGCCGGAGTGCACGCTGCCCGCCAACGTGACCAACGCGACGCAGCAGAGCGTGCACGCCGCGCTGCTGGAGAGCGTGAGGGTCGAGACGCCCGATCAGATGCCGCCCGATCAGATGCCGCCCTCGCCCGAGCCGGTCCCGAACGCGAGCATCTGGCGCACGCAGGTGGACGCGTCGCCGGCGCCGCCCGTCAGCTTCGGCGCCGGGTTCTGGGACTCCGGCGCGGAAGACTCTCCCGTCTGCGTGACCAAGTCCAGGAAGGTCAAGGTGGACATCTACGAGCAGAGCATCGAGGAGATGCCCACGCATTTTATACAGCCGAAAGGTAAGACTTTTCGCTAGAGATGGGAAAATTCCCATTTAACGAAAATTTCCGGAAAATTTCCATCGACTATTTCCCTCGTCTTAATTTCCACCAATCACAAACGCGCAATTTTGACAGCACCTTTACGAGTTTACCCGCGGCAAAACTTGACAGCTGTTGTCACTAAAAATTACAATTTATATTTTAATTGTTAACTGTTACTCATGAAATAGTCTTGTAAAATACCATTCGGGCATCTAATTTTTCCTGTGAAAAAAATCGAAAAAACACAATGCTAAGTAATATTTTTTTAACAAAATGCATTCGTGCAGGTGCAAAAATCCTCCTCTTCGACTCGGATTTTTGTTGCCACCAGCACTTAGCAACGTGTTTTTTCAATTTTTTTCGGAAAAATTAGATGTTATAACTTTTCGAAAGTTAAAAAAAAAAATTTTATTGCGGAAATGAGTTTTTTCAAAATTCCCATTTGACGAAAATTTTCGGAAACTTTTCATCGAAAATTCCCGAAACTTCTCGAAAGTTTAAAAAAAATATTTTAATGCGGAAATGAGTTTTTCAAAATTCCCATTTGACGCAAATTCCCGGAAACTACATCGAAAATTTACTTTCCCAAAAAGAAGAATAAATTATTGCGGAACTTCTCATTTGACGAAAACGCCCGGAAACTTTCCATTAATTTAATGGAAAGTTTCCGGGCGTTTTAATTTAAAATTTCCGAAAGTTTTTAAAAAAATATTTTTATTGCGGAAATTCCCATTTGACGAAAATTCCCGGAAACATTCTATCTAAAATTACGGAAAATTTCCGAAAGTTAAAAAAAAATATTTTAATTGCGGAATGATTTTATTAAAATCATTTTAACTTTGTTAATTGTTTTTATTTTGTTTACCTTTTAAAAGGCTTTTATGCAAAGGGTTTTTTTCAAACGATTTGTGAATTTTGATGAGATATTTAACTAACTTTTTTTTCTTAAATTATCATAAATTAACTTATTATTATTTAGTTTCTTGGCCTTAAATTCGCAAATCAGCTGTTAAACAATTGACATTTACATAAAAAACAGGGAAAGTTTTCGGTAACTTTAAAAGAAACTTTTAAAATTAAAATATATCCCGACTGGAAACTTTCCTTGAAATGAAAACTATCCGATTCCCATCTGTACTTTTTTCACTTCTCTTCACTTTTCAACAACAGACCCTGACTCACAAATTTTATGAATATAATCAATTTTTAGAACGATAAAACGCATTTTTAGGCATTTATTATTTTTGGTTTATAGGAAGTGCTATGAAAACTCCCTTCAAAACTCTCTCGGCTGATGAGTTGGCAGAAACTGGGTCCCGAGGAGGTATGGATATTGCAGAGACTGCACATTCTGATGACAGTGCACACCCTATGGCAGCTCAAAGTTGGTATGTAACTAGAGATGGGAAATGCTTAACGCAACTTAAGCACAAACAAGAAAAAACGAGCATAAACGAGAAATTCTCGAGATTTTATTAATAGCATTTTCTGTGATTCTGATTTTTTTCGAATATTTTTTTCTCAAAGGTACTTTTCAGAAAAATAAGGAAAAAATTATTTAGACCGATCTTCAAAGTTTTTTTTTAATTTAAAATTCTTCAATTGTCATTTTTAATTTGTTTGTTCTTTTATTAAATAGTGCCTTTATTTGCAAATTCTCTAAAATTTTCAAAGTGTTTTTTCGTTTTCTATTTTTTTCCAATTAAAAAAATTCACATAATACCACTCTGGGGATTTTTGCGGATGTAGAGAGAACCAAAAAGTTTGAAAAATAAATAGATGAATAAATTTTTTATTTTCTTTGCTTTTAAATGTAATTTTCCAAACAAAAATAATAAAATATTATTCAGAACTATGTATCTTCTATTATTTTTCTTACTTTTTTAAAAAACATGATGATTACCAATTTCAATTCCATTCAATATTTTTTTTTTAATTTTCGGAAAAAAACCGAATATTTCTCGATTGTCTTTTTTTATTAAAAAATTATCTAAAATTTTCAAATTGGCGTTTATTCGTTTTCAATTATTTATCAATCTCTTAATACCAATGGGGATTTTTGAGGATGAAAAGAGAATATCAAAGTTTGGAAAAATAAATAAATGAATTATTTTTTATTTTCTTTTCTTTTAAATGTAATTTTCAAAGAAGAATAATAAAAATTATTCAGAACTATGTATCTTACTTTTTCGAAAAACATTGCATTTTTTTTTGATTTTCGGAATAAAACGAATATTTCTTGATTGTCATTTTTAATTTTTTTCTTTTTTTATTAAAAAGTGCCATTGTAATCAAATTCTCTGTAATTTTCTCTTGTTGTTTTCTATTTTTTTTCAAAATTTAAAAAAAAAATATTTGAATATGTAGAGGGAACCACAAAGTTTGAAAAAATAAATAAATTATTGAATTTTTTATTTTTCTTTGCTTTTAAATGTATTTTTTTAAATAAAAATAATAAAAAACTATTCAGAACTATGTATCTTCTATTATTTTTATTACTTTTTTGAAAAACATTGAATTTTTTTTATAATTACCAATTTCATATTTTCCCAAAGATAAAGAAAAAATTTGCATTCGATATATATTTTTTGTGATACGTCACTGGTTACACACTTGTATTCTGTTAGTACATAGATACCAACCAACAAAGTAGCTGCGCTTGCCAGTTGTAAAAAATTGTTACTAAATTTTTTTCTTGCAAAAAATAAGTAAAAACTTAATAAATAAAGTGTTATGCCCTTAAAACTCTAATACCCTTCTATATTTATTTACTCATCCAGCTATAGCTTAAGCAATGATTACCCACATATTAATTCATTGATTCACACCAAATGACTTTTTTCAAAAAACAAACCTCAAGTACAAAAACGTTCGATATTCATTGTGCAGCACCCTGAGTAAAGTACCGCCCCGTCCCCCGATCAACATTTTCAACGACGACAGCTCTTCGTCGTACGAAGAGATCAAGTTCAAGCTTCCCGTGCAAGATCTGAACAACACGTGCACCACGCAGACCTTCAACCTGAACTGCATGCACGTGAGCACGCCCGACAACAAGCGGCAACACGGCGCGACCTCGGCCGACGAGAACCAGGCCGAAAACACGCGAAAGCAGCTGTTTGCGGCTGAGCCGCCGCTCCAGCTGCACAACGCGCAACCGAAGAGTCTGAGCGTCATCATGGAGGAGTCCAACGGGTATCGGTGAGTAATTTGGCCAGCAACCGCTTTCTTTAGTTCTTTAGTTGTTTCTTAAAATTTACGACTTTTATATATATATATATATATATATATATATATATATATATACATCCCGCCTACAATGCTGCGTCAATACATTATGAAATTTGCATTCAATGCTGCGTCAGGTGTAATGCTGCGTCGTATATTGACGCAGCATTACATTTAAGGTTTATTTTACTGGTGACGTCACGACAATCCTACACACCGATTTTAAGGGTGACGCAGCATTGATGGTTTTTTGTAAAATACGTGTATATTGAAGTTTGGCAGTTTGCCGCAAGGGTGCGCTTTTAAATTTGGTGTATATTGAAAAAGTGAATATTTCTTTTAAACTTACGGTAAACCTGCATCAAGTGAAGCTGACAACAATGTACGACGCAGCAACGTCGATACAATGTACTTAATATTATTCGACACATAAATAATTTAAGATCGTTAAACGAACGCAGCAATGCTGCGTCACATGTGTTAATGTAAATTTTGGAATAATTGTTTGGTAGCCAGTTTGTTTTATAAAATTATTATTGCCAAGTTCCTTTTAATAATTATATCTATAGTTTCTCTGTAAACTGGGCAACTTGAAGTAAGAAATTGTCTAGGCAAGTTTTTTTGTTATATTTTTGTTGTATTTAATAAATGTTATTCGAGGAATAAATATCGGTCTATTTATTAGTATACGGCAGATGAACCAAAAATATTCCTATTACTTTGGAAAACATTGAGCATTTTCTGAAAAATCTATACAGGGGACTGTTTATAAAATCCGAAGAGAAAGTTTAGATGACTTTTTTAGAATTACAAAATAATAATTATAAGTTAAGTTACAGTAACAAGCAAACAATATTGGTTGAATAATTAAACAATTAGGTTGATTCCAATAGTTACTGTCTTTAATTAATTTAGTCTGAAGTGACCATTTTGCTTTGGTGACACGTCAGGGGACTGGTTTTTAAGGACTATAAGAACGATTTTGATACATTAAAGTTTATTTTATTGGATTTTGAACGTCGAGCATAGGTAGATTAGGTTATTATCTTTTGAAGTTATCTACGAAATATTTATGATCTGTTATTTTTCTAAACAATATTAGCTTGAGACAATGAGTTGCCCAGTTTACAGAGAAACGCCCCTATTACTTTAAGAATAAATAAGAGTAAAAATAGTATATTGTGTCTCAAGGGCAGAAAACTAGCTTTAGCAGCCCGCGGCTATTAAATGCGCGAGCGAGCGAAGCGAAGCGAGGGCAGTTGATAGCTAAGGGCTGCTAATGCGTTTTCTGAATGTGTGACACACACCTGTTTTTCGCCTAGCATCAAAAAATTTATTTTTTTAAATTTTATTAATATAAACGGAATTTTATAAGAAACTTCAGTAACAATTTACAAATTTATTTATTGTTGTATTTAATGTTAATTATGCCTTGAGCACAATTGTGGATAGTACCAGAATTTGAAGGCTTATTTCTACAGATGAAGTTGATGTTTCATTAGAATTATCTTTGATCTTTCCGATAGATAAGCAACTAATACATTTTCTGTTAAGTTTTTGTCTTTTTGATCCTTTTTCCAGTTTTTAAATAATTCATAGCACTTTTCGTACCGTTGCAACGCATTGTCTTAACATTGCTAGCTTCGTCTTTTTCAAATGTGGTCAAGTAAATTTTTCGTCACTGTCCGGGTTACCATTCATTTTCACTTTATTACAAAATTTAAATAAGGTTTTATTGTTATTTTATACTTTTGTTGTCCGTTTTTATTTTGATTTACACAAACGTCTGAAAATCTTAAATGTCAAAATGTCAAATGCCAAAATACATAAATGTCAGTCAAAGGTGTCTAGATTGTGAAAAACTACAAAAATCAAGTTTAGCGGCCCTAGGGACGATATGAGTTTAGCGACCCTAGAGACAATAAATATTATTTTCGGTCATATTTTTAGGTTTGATATGATTCATTTTTATATGTGCTGGGCGAAAATAGTATTATTTGTCCCGTTTGTAAGGCCTCCAGCCCAGGGATGGGAAACTGACGCAAAAATTGCGTTTATTAAATTTTATACATTGACTATTTAGTAAATGTAGTATGTAGTAAATCACAGAACATAGTAAATTATTGTGTAGTAAATGTAGTAGGTAAATTACGTGATTGGTATTTTGGTTGAAATCATGATTGTTAATGAGAATGTAAGATGATAAACATAATAACCTAACGTTTTACTCAAAAAAACGTGGTTTTGTGTTATTCTGTGAGCTGTCTTCTAAGTTTGATCTGTCAAACTTAGAAGTGGGCTGTGGGCTCTTGTAACTTTGCAGGTTGATATAATTTGTTGTTTTGTCAAAAGAAATGACTAAATACTAATGAACTAATACAATTTTCTTTAAATAATATTTTTACTTATACAGGGTATTTGGTTTTCTCTGGGACGATTCCAACTTTCTTATTTTTAATAAAAATATCCCTTTTATTTGCATTTTTGTGTTCCACAGACTTTTTGAGACATGCTCTGTAAATATATTTTTCTAATCATATTAAAGAATTTGTACATTTCCTATACTTTTTCAATTAAGAAAGTGGCTCAGTCTTAAACTGTGGAGAAAATTGAACTCTTTCTCCACGGTATACCGCGGTAGTATTATAATAATCCTACTAGGATTTATCATTACTATGACGATTACACGGTGGTTCATTATTTTCTTAAAAATTAATTGACACTGACTTTTGTAGAAACTTTCCACACGCATGTAAAAAAAGATATAGATACTTATAGCATATTTTTCGATATTTTTTTTTCAAAAAATATTCTAAATTAGCTAACTAGATAGAATTAGATAACTTTCAATCTTTAAAATGCTCTGTAAAATTGTTAAATTAAAGATACGCTACCATACGATTATTGGGACGATATGTGATGACAGCAACAATAATAATAATTATATTATCCAAAGACGAAAGTAAACATCTGATTACATTTTAGGACGGAAAGTAAACAGCTGTCCTAGTACAAAAATGTGACGTTTTCAGAATATTAAAGTTAGTTTTTTACATACAATTTGGCCCTTTATATTTTAATAAGGCAAAAAGTTTAAACAAATTTAAATTATAAATATTCTTCACTCCTAAATTAATTATTAATTATTAATATTGATAAAAAACTAAAATTGGAAAGTTTAAACCGTTTCGCCTTATTCTAAGACGTAGTTAAATAAAGATTTAAAAATCCTTTAAAATAATCCCTTTTTTATTTATGGTTTTGGTAAAAACGCCTCCTTAGATTAAGAGCACTTTTTTAATTACAATTTAAAAAAAGCTTTGGCCCGTCAATATTTTTATTTTAGATACATTTTTTGACGTTTTACTTTCAAAATTTATACATATTATATTATAAACAATTTATATTACACGGAAAAAAATAATCGGTAGAGGCTACCGATTGGCAATCGGTAGCAGCTACCGATTGCCAATCGGTAGACTCTACCGAAAAAATCGGTAGACTCTACCGAAAAAATCGGTAGTCTCTACCGAAAAAAAATCGGTTCCCTCAACCGATTTTTATCGGTAGCAGCTACCGATTATTTTCGGTAGAGTCTACCGATTTTTTCGGTGCAGGCTACCGAAAAAATTTTTGAAAATTTTTGTATTTTTTTAGCGAGAAGTTAAATACTCGCTTTTTATTAAATAGAAATAGTATTTTTTTTTGAGGTATAAATAAATTTGAAATACAAAAATATTAAAAATGAGGAGTAATTTTTATTAAATTTTTTACAATTCTAAAAAATTATATTTACTTTTAATAAATAAACTTTCTTTTAAATAGATGATAAACAAAACCCATTTCTTTGAATAGAATTTTTTAATATTTACAATGAATACCATCTCAAAATGTTTGACTGAAAAGAGTAATTTTTATTAACTTGAATAATGTTTAATATTATTTTTAAATGTTAATATTTTTAAGTATTAATATTTTTTTTTTCTAACAGCGCATCGATGTGGATTTTCTCGGTTACGGTTACCGAAAAAATCGGTAGACTCTACCGAAAAAATCGGTAGACTCTACCGAAAAATAATCGGTAGCTACTACCGATAAAATCGGTTGAGGGAACCGATTTTTTTTCGGTAGAGACTACCGATTTTTTCGGTAGAGTCTACCGATTTTTTCGGTAGAGTCTACCGATTGGCAATCGGTAGCTGCTACCGATTGCCAATCGGTAGCCTCTACCGATTATTTTTTTCCGTGTAGGTATACCAATATTAGAGCGGCAAATTTTATTACCCACCCTGACTGAGAAAACGTTAGAAACGGTCCTTCGAATATCTAAGCCTTATTTGGAAATATTAATTAATTTCTTAGCTAAATCTAATAAAATATTTAATACCAAAAATATCAATAAGGAACCTTATTGTCTACAATTATCATAATTGAATTATGCTGGGTCAGAATTTCTCAAACGGGCCACCTGAATTAGGTCAAAATTAGTTTTTGATTGTAGATACATTTTTTCGATAGTATTTTACATCACTAACACAAATCCTAAAGGATTTTGTAAAAAAAAAATTTCAATTGACATATTCATGATATTAAAAGTAAAAGTTTTTAGTAATTAAAAAATAAAAAAAAATCATTATGGCTAAACTAATTATCCGATTCCAACGATTTAACTAGCGTTGGAATCTTGTTTTGACATAGATTCCTTGTTATTTAAAATTGTACAATTGAAAAAAATTTTTCAATTGTACAATTTTCATTTAGGTCGATTTTTTTTTGTTTTTTTTTATAACAAATTCGGAAATAATTGGCTTCTGCGCCAGCTATCGACTCGAAAAAAAAAACACATATACTCCAATCATTTTTCAAAATTATGCTGCTGAGAAAAAAAATGGCCCGCAGGTTCCAGACCACCGTAAGACGTCGCGTCACAAGCGCGTACAGCGTACACGGTTCGGAGCGTGAGCTGACACCGC